TTGACACCACATAGATGATCTAGCAGAGTATTGTCATGGATACGTGTTTACATTCCAGCTCCTCGAAGCTCAAAATCCCTGTTTAGGCGGAGAAACGTAGAGGAAGCAGTCTCACTTGTTGTGGTTTCAGGTTTCAGTCCAAAATCAATGATACTTTGAAGAATAAATAGAAATAATCTTCAGAACTTCAAATCATTAACTTTTATTGCAAGAGTTCTTGTTTTAGGCCTGAAAGGAAACATGTATTCTTACTATTAAAAATGAATTAACTCATCTGATTGTGGCTTTTAGTTCACAAAGCAGTGCTTTAATACCTCAGACGTAATGAAGGAAAATCCATGTCTTGTGCAAATCATTAATTTTCTTGTACGGCTGCTGGAGTGTCATGAGCTCACAGGCATTTGACCACACTTCCTTACTATAATGAACAAATGCTTAAACTCTGTAGTAGGTTTCTCTTGTGAGATTTGACCCATTTCACAGAACAACAGAATCCCACAATGCAAAACCCACATGCCACCATTTCACATGCATGTTTTTGTCTGATCGATTGAAGCTTGAAGGACGCTTTTGTGAACTGCCCGACGCAAAAACTGAAGATGACCTGGACTCCTCCGAGGACGGAGATAAGCTAGCGTACTGTGTGACAGATGTACCCCCGTGGTACCTGTGCATCATTCTAGGGATCCAGGTATGTCAGCAAGTCGTGTCCTGATCAGGAGCCTGTATGTGACACTGTTTCTGTTGTTACATAACAGTGCAAACATGACTGTCACATGAGAGCTTCGGCCTGATGTTTACTTCACAGTTTTTATTCTTTTCATGTGTTTCTGATTGTGAAAATTTGCTTCACATAGAGATGCAGCAAGTTTGTTTTCTTTGCTTAGCAGCTCTGAGTTTCTGACTCACAGTATATTTGCACATTTCCCTTTTCAGTTTAAGCCATCTTACCAGTCTAAGAGCTTCTGCATGCAGTTTACACTTACTGCTCTTACACAGTAATGTACAGTGTAGAATAGCTTAAAATGCGGTATGTCTTATTTACCTTTTTGTTCATGCAAATTATCCCCTGAAAGCAAATAATTTTTTTTCCGTTCGTGCAGCAGCCGTTAAATAAATGTATCTATGGTTATTTTCCCTCTACCAGCATTGCTTGACTGCATTCGGAGGTATCATCGCCATCCCGTTGATCCTGTCTCAGGGCTTGTGTCTGCAACATGACGGCCTCACACAAAGCCACCTCATCAGCACCATCTTCTTCGTCTCTGGAATTTGCACTCTCCTGCAGGTCACCTTTGGCATTAGGTGAGAAAGCGAAGGAGGAAGTGGTCATTGAGTTGCTTGTGGGAAGCTGAGGTGATAAAGTTGGTATGATGGTAGTTAGTGATTTCTCCGTCTAAGATTAATACGCATTAATTCGCTGGCTAAGCTTTTTTCATGCCGTGCCGGTTTGTGCTTTCACAGAGAAATTCAGCATTAAAGCAGGAAGCATTAAAGTGGAATTAACGAGAAGAACAAAACAACCTCTCAGATTTGCTTCTTAATCTCTTTTGAACTGTATCTAATATATATATAATAGGTTTTTTTTACTCTACTTTGGCCGTGCATCTTAAAGTCACAGCCTGATGAATAATATCTAATGCAGAGAAAGTCTCACAGAGTATTGAATAATAAGAACCTACACAAATATTTGCACACAGATACAGGAACACAGGAGAATCAACATGATCTGGTTGTTTTGGTTTTTCAATAACTACAAAACTAAACCATGTTTTCGGAACTTGCACTAAATGTGTGCAGACCCGGCCTGGCTGAATATCTGTGTCACAGCAGGATTAGGGAAAGAATTTCCATCTTATTATGTTTGGAATCTAGTTCTTGCTAAATCCACATTCCCCAGCAATAGAACCACTGATGTTGTCTTGTCTCTCTCCAAATAACTGGAGGTCAGCTGTAAGAAAAACAGTTGGTTTGTTTAATGTCGCTGTTAATGTTCCTGAGAAACTAACAGAAAACAACTCTAATTATTTGTGTCCCTTTGGATGAAAACACTACACATCTACTTTAATAAAAGATTTTTTCTGGCTATGTGTATTTATTCCGTTGAGTTTAACATGCTTTCCACAACAAATGCATGTTGTCTGACTGTGAGGGATGGACTTGTTATTGTAAATAAAGAAATTGTCCCAAAGGAAATATTGCCTCTGCTACAGGTTGATGTGAATTAATGTAGCTTTACCATCTTTATTTCCAGGCTGCCCATTCTTCAAGGTGGCACGTTCACCTTGTTGGCCCCCTCCATGGCAATGCTGTCCATGCCGGAGTGGCAATGCCCCGCTTGGACCCAAAATGCGAGCCTGGTCAACTCCACCTCTCCAGAATTTACAGATGTGTGGCAGAGTCGGATGAGAGCAGTATGTAAAACCCACTATTTTTTGTTTCTAAACTTATTTTGTTCATTAATAAAGGGCTATCAACCAGTTCTGACCCTACAAAGCCTGTAAATCAATTTTGAAGGAGCAAATGAAGTTAGTAAGTAAGTGTAGTAAGTGTTTATGTTTATGTATTTTTTTTTTTTTGTCATCCTTTTTGTGTCTTCAGCTCCAGGGCTCCATCATGCTGGGCTCGTTGTTCCAGGTGTTTGTCGGATTCTCCGGCCTCATCGGTCTCTTCATGCGCTTCATCGGGCCTCTCACCATTGCTCCAACCATCTCCCTCATAGGGCTGTCTCTGTTTGACTCAGCCGGCACGAGTGCTGGCAACCACTGGGGCATCTCTACCATGTGGGTAAAATTCACAGAGCTTGTAGTGGTTGGGAGTGTTGGTGCTCCATCAGACAATTCCAAGTCTGCCATTATAATCTTTTTATTTCTGAATGTCTTATTTTGTTATGAGTAATAAAACTTTCTCCGGCTTTAGTCACAGTAATAAAATCATTTTCTTTTACTTTGTGGAAAAAGGAGTTTGTGCCAGTTTAATGCAGTTTTCTTAACATAACTATGTTTTATAGGATGTGTTAAATCTGCTTCCTCCCTTTTCTAGAGTTCTCCAAGTTCTCTTTGCACGGCATATGGTGCAGTCCTGTAACATTGAACTCTTCTCTCACACAGGACCACAGCACTGATCATCCTCTTCTCACAGTACCTCCGCCACATACCTGTACCTTTTCCTACATACAGCAAGGATAAGAAGCTGCACACCTCCCGTGTCTACGTCTTTCAGATTCTCCCTGTGCGTATCAAACACTCTTTCTTATTCGCTAGTAATCATCTTACCAAATAAATTATGCATTTAACTTTAAACCTCTTGATAAAATGATGAAAGTAATTTTTTTCCCGACGTGTTCACAGGTTTTGCTTGGAATCACTTTATCTTGGCTCATCTGTTATATTTTGACAAACTGCAATGTGCTACCTGCTGATCCGAACCTGTACGGTCATCTGGCTCGCACTGATCTAAAGGGGGATGTGATGAGCCGAGCTCCGTGGTTCAGTTTTCCATATCCAGGTAAGACGTCGCAATTCCTCATTCAATAGTAAAGCAGAATAGAAAAAAGAATAACACACTTTACTGTGTGATTCTCTGTTCCTTTAGGTCAGTGGGGGGTGCCGACTGTGAGCCTGGCAGGAGTGGTTGGCATCCTCGCTGGTGTGATTTCCTCCATGATAGAGTCCGTCGGGGACTACCATGCTTGTGCCAGGCTGTCTGGGGCTCCGCCTCCACCTAAACACGCCATCAACAGGGGTATCGGTATCGAGGGAATAGGCTGTCTGCTGGCTGGGGCCTGGGGAACAGGAAATGGTACCACCTCATACAGCGAGAACGTTGGAGCTCTTGGTATTACAAAGGTAATTGAACCTCCACATTGGAAGATATTTGCTACCATGACTATTATTTTTCTTCTTAAAATATATAGAATATTTATGAATCTCTGAGCTAAACTGCAAAATATTATGTTTTTACAACCAATTTTAAAACGTGTCTGTCTTCATTTTGCAGGTTGGCAGTCGCATGGTGATTGTAGCGAGTGGCGTGCTGATGGTCGTCATGGGTGTGTTTGGTAAAGTGGGCGCCGTATTCACCACCATTCCCTCACCAGTGATCGGAGGAATGTTCATGGTTATGTTTGGGGTCATCTCTGCGGCAGGAGTATCTAATCTGCAGGTACACACAACAACATCCGAGACATCTCCATTGACTAAATAATACACGACAATAGCACTAAAATGTTCTTGTTTCCTACTTTTCCAGTATGCAAATATGAACTCATCTCGAAACATCTTCATCTTTGGCTTCTCCATGTTCTCTGGCCTGGTCATTCCTAACTGGATATTGAAGAACCCCAAAGCCATCGATACAGGTTTGTTAGTAAAGTTTCACTAATCAGTATTTTTTCTGAAGCTATTTCTTGGAACAGATGTTAAAATGTTTGTATCGTGTTGTGTCCAGGTGTGGTAGAAGTGGACCAGGTGCTGCTGGTGCTTCTGACAACCAGCATGTTTGTAGGAGGCTTCTTTGGCTTCATTCTGGACAACACAATACCAGGTATTGAATTGTTACTGTATTTTTTATTTTCTAGGTAATTTATATCCTATTATCTTTAACATCTGATCATTAATGGCAGTAACCACAATTCTGTGACTGAATTTAGAACCAGAGATCCAGCAGAAATATATGACAGGGCATAAAAAGGGTCACACGTCATTTTAGTGTGGATCATTATCTCCCATCAAGTGACTGAGTGCTGAGTGTTTAGGGGCCATGGTTAATTAGTTTGTGTTGATTCGCTTAAAAATTATAATTGGGGACAAGGTTTACAAAAGTATGCAGTGAGTCAGCACATCCTCAATTAATACTTACACACCAACACCGGACTAAGGAAAAATTATATATAAATGTCCCTATGGTGTTCTTCTAAAAGCAACCATTTTTTTTAGACAACCATTTTTTCTGAAGTCATAAGGTCTGTTATAATATAAATATTGTAATAGTGCTGAAGCATAGAAGTTAGAGAGTGACATCAAAAACTTTACTGAGGGACAATTACAGATACATCAAAAAACCTGTAATAACACAACATTGTGTATTATTTTTGTTTAATTAAACTGAAACTTGAAAGTATTTAGTAGCTAAGTTAAGCAAAAAGTATTAGGGTGTTAGGGGTTAGAGTATTTGACTCTGAATTGTGCTGGAGAAGTGTTTATATAGCAGAGAATTTAAATAATCAAGTGCAAGCATCTCAAAACTGAACATACTTTTCAAGTGTTCAAAATTACAAAACTGAATCTCCTCTTGGGTAGTCACTTTTAGCTCCAAGACAGTTTTTAATAAAAGATTATGTGTTGTTGGTAAGAACAATTGTCTTCAAACATTTCTCCCAGGGAAGCAAGTGTGAGAGAGGAACCCGATCCATTATGATTTCATTGTATGATTAAACACGTTTAACTCATGTCCAACAGGATCTAAGCATGAAAGAGGCATCCTCGCCTGGAACAAGGCTCACGAGGACGACTCCTGCAACACGCTGGAGAGCAGAGAAGTCTACAATCTTCCCTTCGGCATCAGCTCCTACTTGTCGTCTTCGTCCTGGCTCCGGTATATACCCTTCTGCCCCCCCGGTGAGAAATCCGGAGCAGATACCAGGTCTCTGGAGTCCAAGCCCAAGCAGCCGCTGGCAGGACACCCGGAACCTGCACAGATCATAATTGGAGTCTCTCTGTGAGTTTAGTTCTCGCTCCAGCATGCCATTTTTGGGGGATTTGTCCAAAAACAATACCATCAGAGGCAGCTCGATCTGGACCTTGTGTCCTCTGTCAAAGACCCTGTACTGTACAAATGAGGTGCAAAGTATTTTCACATGACTTTTCGAGGGGACTTTTGCAGATGACAGCTTGCATAATAATGGCATAATAATGATGGCTGTACAATTAGTTTTCTCTACTTTTACACGTATCAGTCTTGTGGTAACCCCCTGGTGCTAGTGAACAAACACTGAAAAGACATGTGAATGTAAGTCATTATGTGACGTTTCAGTACCACATTCAACATAAAACCAATGTATGGTTTCATGTATATATATATATATATAGTACCTCAAGTTTGAATCAATTGTTGCTGTGACAGTCCACATTTTAATGATTATTCGTTATCAGTCCATGCACTTTACTTTCTGACAGTACCTTCCTCTCAGGCTCTTTTTAGCCGTCAGCATCCAGGCTTATGTCTCTTCAGTACATAAACCAGAACGACCCACTGATCTTTTTTCCTACATGGCTATTAAAATAACAAACTCCAACACAGAGCCATTGTGTGGCAGTACCTGTGTCTGTTCACTTTGTTCCCATCAGATCCTGCTTGATGGCTTTGTACAAGCTGACAAAAGACTCTGCCCAGACGTCTCGTTGCCGTTCAGAGGTGGAATTGACCATCTGCTGGGTGATGTACACCAAGGTCAGCAAAGTGCGCTCGAAATCATCCTGTTGAAGGGGACCAGTGTGATCTGAAAGGCCAGAGACGAGCCTAAAAATGTCTGTTAGCCTCCTGGGAATGATCTCCTCACAGATGACCTCCAGGTTTTGTGTTTTGCGGAGAGAAGCCAGCTCAGCGTCTCTCACTGAAAACTCTCCGTTGGCCTCAAAGTTTATGCCGGTCATTAAGATCTATCCAGAAAAATGGAGAGCGGAAATTATTATTACGGATAATTTTATCTTGAGGTTTTGCTTATTTTGATATTGTCTTTGTTAATAGACACACCTCAAATAATAGATTGACATCCTCGATGGAGTTGGAGAAAGTGGGGTTCACCATGTTGGCAGCCCCTCTTTCTGTTCTGCTGGCGGCTGGAAACAGGGCTGGTAGACACAGAAAATCAGAAACGGAGAAAATCAATGTCAAACACAAACCTTCCCTTCAGGTTAATCCCTTTGTCTTGTGATTTACTGTGAAGGACCCAAAAGGCCTCTATAACTTACAATAACAAACTCACAATTGATTATGTTCAATGAAATGCAGGTGTCTCTGGTTCACACTGACTCTCTGGCACATGTGACACCCAGGTTCATCACTGACACATACTGCAGCTAGTCTATGATATACACACTGTACTTGTCCAACCCTGAGACCTCTGACCGCACAGACGACTTCTATCTGCAGGCGATGAGACATGACCCCAACTTCAAAGTCGGTGGAGGAATCAAAGGAGGAGCAACACATGGACTTTACAGCAGGTTCCAGATGATTTCAACATGCAGTGCATGGGCGTAGAAAGTCAGCCTCATTTTCACAGAATTCCTTAAAATCACAATTTAGAGTCGGGAGTTAGTCACAGCAGAGCTTGTGCTGTCAAAGAAAGATAAAAATCAAAAACCCTCCCCCTCGTTGGATCATGAGGAAGAATCTAATTAGACGTGACTCAAATGCTGTGTTCTTACATCACTGAAAAGGAAAATAATTATACTGAAGTAACACCCTTAAGTCCCAGGCTGTAATTTTACTGATACTGATGGTTCATGACCTGCGGATGTGTTTTTTTCTAGAAGGGTAAATACTAATGAGGATTATGAGATTTCTGTGTTTTGCTCTCACAGTGCTTTTTAAATCTTTTGCCGGCAAACTTCACTCGCTCGGCAGCTCCAGTTTTTCTAACAAGAGGTGATTATTTGGGGAACTTGGACATATTCAGTCATCTCATCAGTAAACTGTACAAGGAATATGTTAACCAACTGGGCAATGATGATTCCTGCTTTTCATGGCAAAGTTTTCCTTAGTAGTACTTGAATCTCATTATTTCAAACAGACTTAACTTCCTATGGAGTTAGCCCATATCCAAACATCACCCCAGTTGTTGTACTGTCTCTGTCTATAGTGTCTTTTGAGGTCGTGATGGAACCGAAAACATTCCCCGAACAGAGCTGGTCTGAATGAAGATGCTTTTCATTCACTAGCTTCCTGTTCATATCAGTTTTGGACTCCTGCCACTGTGTTGTCAAGTAGAAACAAGTTCATATCTGATCTAACAGCATTCGATTATAGATAGAATGAAGACATTTAACCTTTAAACCCATGAATAGTGATTCTTCTCTTTTATTGGTTCATACTTTATTTAGTTTTGAAGGGTGGGAACTAGGAATGTTTTCAAGTTGAATAAACACACTGATGTCATTCTACTGGCAAAAACATGATTACACAATCCTTGTGTTTTTCTTGTTTTCAGTGAAAGCTTCACTGAAGTTTGGAAAGAAACTAAAATATAAGAATCATTCTTTTGCTGGTTTAATATTCCACTGCTGTGAATCAATGTTCAGCAAAGAATCATCCAATAACTGTATGTAGGATTTTTTTAAAAAGTTTAATTGTATCTATTTAAACATCTGACTCAGAATTAACGTTTGAAAAATCTACATTAACTAAGACGTACACATAAATAAATTTCAAACCATCACTGGGATTAATCCACAATCAAATCTTACAATTTTTAGCATCAAATAACAACAATGAACAAATAATAAACAACTGCCACTAGATATTCTACCTGCTCTAATTGAACACACAAAAAAAATCATCACATGCGGAAACTAAACTCTTTGCATCTAATATTAACTAAACTAACATTGAGTCTTACTTTTAGTGTGCGAATGCGTGACACAGATTTTGATGCTGCAGTAGAGAAAACCCACGATGACCATTCTCAAAGGAAACATGGCGTCCGGTGTGTCGTACCAGTGGCTGTAGAAAAGTTCTCTGGATCTTGTGTCTCTGCCTGTCAGCGCCCAGCGTGCTTTCCTTTACGGTGCATACCTGCAGCCTCACATTAACACCGCTGCGTTACTCCTTCTCCATCATTTCTGTTCTCTGTGTCCGTCTGTCTGCACAACTGTGTTCTCTCTCTCCACCCCCCCCTCTTGTCCACATCTGATCTCTCTCCCTCTCACTCCCTCTCACTCCCCTCTCTCTCTCTGACAACCAGCTGAAAGCATTTTAATGCTGGTTGAATGGTTCTCATCAGCTTCAGTTGTCTGCTTCAGTCTTCTGCTCTTACCTTTCACCGGCTGATGACAACTTGTCCTCAACCTATTCACAGCATCATCTTCATCACTATCACTTTTTAATTTTTCTCATTTATCTTTTCTCATCTTCTCTTTTAAAATTCTTTATCTCTGTCATCTAATTACTCAATAACACTGTATGCATGTAGCCTTTAGCCTTTTCATTCTCCTCATTCATGTATTCAGTCATATTTCTTTTAAATTTGGTTACATACTGCAGTTTAGTTACCTTTAGTAAACTATGTAATCATGTACTCTGCATATTATTCTCATCATATCTATAATTTACCATCTATCATGAGGCAATATAGAGCAGAAAACTATCACCAGAGTCAATAGGTTTGATTGGGAACATGAATTGCAGCCATAGAATGGAAATAAACATGAACGAAATTTAGGCTCTTCATAAGTGAAGCCAAAGCATCTTGAGCGCCACATGGTAGCTGGCTGCAGTGTAGATCATAAGCCCGCCCCCTGCTGGATTCGAAGGTGCATGTGTTGTCCATCTTTATATACAGTTCATCCCAGGTAACAGCTTGTTGTGGGAAAGATTTTCCATTTGTTGCTGTTGCTGACTTTTAAAATAATCTTTAAAAAAACCTCCAAGATTTGTCTTGGCTTCTTTTTCAGGACTGAAGAACTGAAAATGTGAGAGACCAAGTTCACTGTCCCTCTGGGAGCTGTGTTTACGTACCTATAAGCCCCTCTGTGAGTTGGAGCACTTGTGATGGAGTCAGGATGATCACCGGTATAAAAGAGCTTTGTTTGTGTTCGTTACGAGGAAAGTTCACACTCAGTGAACATAAAACCAAGCTACGTACTGTTTGTAATTATACAATTCACTCGTGAAGTCCTGCAGAGAAATCATGTGCAGGCACCACAAAGAGAGACTTTGTTCACCACTTGGCACCATCACACCGTCTCCACTAGCCCGAGGAACAGTCCCCAGAAGTGCAACCGCATAAAATCATTTTTATTTGTTTTAAAACTAGTTTAACAATTATTTAATCCATTTGGATACACACAGACTGATGCCAGCGTGTAAGCACAGCACAGCATACAGTTTCTAGATGTTATTTCTATACATCTGGACCTCGGGATGTGTTTCTGTAATGGTCAGAAGAATCCAGACACTGGAAAGAGATCTGTGGCTCCTGCGAACCTCTAAATAATGTCCTTTCCTAACCTGGATGGGTAGATATCTATTTTATTATACAATTATAATAAATTTGACAAAGGATGAACACCTTGAAAAGGATAATGGGTTAGTCACTGAGGAATGATGTGTATAATGTCGCAGTTGAACTTGAGGGTAGACAGCAGCGCTGTGAGGAATAACAATGTAAGACAGTCAGACAGGACATGCCTGCAGACTGACAGCTGCAAGTTACACAACAGAAAAGGGAAGTGGCACAAGCTCTGTGTCTGGCAGTGTCATTACATGTGGATTCATGCCGCTGCTCCACAATCTCTTTCAAATCTTCTTAAAGGCGACATTTTGATCAAAGTAATAACATCAGTTTCTCAATTTTAACGTTAATGGCAGGGAAAACAATTATGGGGGGGGGGATCCGAGATAATAAGACTAATGTTGTCATGGGGATGATGACCTCAGTTTTAGCTTGAGAATTCAAAATTATATATGAAATCCTATTTTACTAATTGTGGAATTGGAGCGTCAGAAATTGCCCAATGAAATAAGGTATCCAGCAGCTTTTATGGGAAATGTTCACGGATCATGGCCATGCTAGGAAAGAAAAGAAAACAATCCTATGCAAGTTCAACACAGAAAAAAAAAAAAATCTGTAATAATAATTGTAATAGCTCCAGTTTTCCACTAGATGTTAGCATTTATCCACATTACTTTTCTTTAACTGTGAGCGACCTCTGCCAAAATGTTCAGTTGGGTTTTTATTCTTAATTCACGTTAATATGACAACATAGGAACAGTGTATGTAACATTAATATAATACACATTTTTATCTCTGTTTGGTTTCAGATCCAATGTAGATAAAATGTCTACAAGATGGAAAAGTTCCACATAATTCAGGAAAGCTGTGAATTTTGAATCTTGTCCTAAACACACAATCTTGTATGAATTTCTTTGTCAGGACATCAGCATTTTCTCTGCTGGAAGCTAGAAACTGGGGAGTTGCCACTTCACAGCCTGGTGTACTGCCGACATCCCAGCATGCTCACAGACCATCTGTCGTCACCATGCAGTCGAAGTGTACGCTGCTGTCTTCAGGCCAAACCGGCTTTATGATCCGTTTTTAAAGTGATACTAACTCAACATTTCTGACTTCTAGGACATGGCTCTCTGTAACACATCATCGAGTCAGACATGTCAAACCCATTGTGCATCTGTTCTTCATAGGCACAGAGCATAAGAGCATAAGAGCACAGGCATGACTATAATTAGTTGCGTGAGGGGAAGTTTGAAATCCCTGCAGACAACAGACAGAACGTGACTTTCTGGGACAGTCTGCATCTAAATCGCAACCAAAAATAGGAGTGTGGGAACAGAACAGACTTTGGATTCTGGACTGAACACAATTACAGCACTTTGACAAATGACCCGTGTTTATACATTTTGGGTTTAAGTTGCAACGAGGATCCAACTCAATCAGGAGGTGAAGACATTGACTGTATTGTCTCAGAGCGATGAGAATAAATACGAGTGTTACGGTGGTATATTCTGTCTCTCCTGGGTTCTAAAGAGACAAAGGCTGTGTGAGCAAGAAAGAAAAAAAATAGTTTATACTTTTCTTTGTGAAGGAATAAAATGCAGATGGTGAGAATATACAAAGTTTTTTCCTCTTTTTGAATTCTATGGACATCTAGGGCTGAAAAATAATCTATTAATATCCAGATTTCCCCTATTGGAATGAAGATTGATAATATTTTTTTTAATTAGCAGCTTCTATATTATTTTGATGGTTTTCAAAAAGCGAGAATGTTTCCTGTTTCATTCCCACTCCTAACCTTGAATGTTCTTGCCCTATTTAACTTTGGTGAGTGGATACGATCTCCTGTGAGAAGTGTGGAACTGACTAATAATAAGCAAGTTGAAGATTAAAGCTGAAGTGTGGATCATTTTAAAAGACTAAGAACACATTAAAAACCAACATTTATCAACACTATTCAGCCAGGAAATATTTTAAATATTAAGAATTCTAAAACAATTTGCTAATAATATAATATGTGATTTTAATTTATACTCCTCTCTTGGTAATATCCCCCGTTCTGTTGTGTTTCAGGCATCGATAGACGTGAAACATGAAACCCACTTCATCGCTCAGACAGGGTTAGGGTTAGGGTTAGAGACCCACAGAATGTATTACCATGTGTGGCTGCAGAGGGCGATGTTGCTCAGTAAAAGTGTTGCTTTAATGAAGGATGATTAATTTAAGCCAAAAGGATGAAACTGAAACTTTCAGTTTATACAATTCATAACATTTGAATATAAATAGTGTTAAAAATTGTACTTATATTTTTTAAGATTTATTTTATTTGAATTAAATTTTTTTACACACATTGCAAAACTTCCGTTCTTCCTCGAGTTTACACAGAACGACAAAAAGAAAATCCTTCAGTATACAGTTTTGAGTTATTACTTTTAGTTTCCCTCAGCCTGCATATTCAAAGATTTCAATCTGGAGCGCTCCGCCTGCAGACAGAGACACAGACGGCCTCACATTCTGGGCCCTTCCTGCCTGAATCCTCTGCTTATCTCCGAGGACGACAGATGAGCCGTCTGCAGTGGCAGGGCCTCCGACGTGCCCCTCATCACTCACTTCTCCCACTTCTGTGTATTCGTTTGTGTGTGCTTCCATGTGTGTGTGTGTGCACTTTTATTAGAAAAGCTATACTCTATGTCTGCAAATCCTCATCCAAATCCACCATGGTCACTTTTGGTAAATCCAAGGTCTTTCTGTTCTTCACAGAAGCCTCCTCCTCCTCCACGTTCCCTCTTTTGCTCTCTGTGCTGTTGCTGCTTCCTCTAATCGACTTTGGCCTTCAAATGGACCATCTACAGACCGCTGCCTCCTTAAGATCAGATTGTAAACGTATGGAGGAAAAAATATATCTTTTCATTACTATACAAGAATACATCAGATTTTTGGACTTGTCCATCTGTATACACAGCCTATGGTGTCAGACATCTGGCAAGAAATTAGAATTTCTTTATTTAAATCATTCTTTTAATGATTATAATGTTTTACTGCCTGCAAAATATTACAAAGACAAATAGTTTCAATCGCTAATTGCACTAGATTTATGTTATTTTATATAAACATTGTTTTCAACACATTCCAGATACATGTTCCACTATATTTTCTCCGCACTGTATGGGGCCGATGTTGCCACCTTTACGTGACGTGAGTCGATACTCTAATAGACCCAGATTTCATTGACATTACAATTAAGGCAATTGGCTTTTAATTTGAGCTCTTTCACAGGCTGATGGAGATTATATTAAATCCATTCAGCTGTTATTGTCTGCTTCATATCTTCTCCCTCTCATCCACTCGATCGGAGTTCTTCAGTTCTTTATTTTATTCCGCCTTTCCAGCCGTGCTACAGTCACATGACAGTGCAGAGAACAATGTTGGCCTGTCGGTCAAACATCTCGAGAGCTGCAGGATGGATGGCAATGAAACTTTGTGCAGATCTTCACGATCCTCAGAGGATTGTGCTGAGAGACTTTGATGATCATCTACTGATTGTTTCAGCAGAATTAATCATATTGCTGGTGCACATTGTGTAAAGTATATCTGCTCATCACTAGCA